ATATAGCCCTGACTGCCGAAGCTTTCCCGGTTTGCAACGTCTAAATTTGCGGGGTGAAGCGGTCATAAAATCAGGCACTTTTCAATGCAAAGTCATCTGCCTTGTTCTTAACATCCATTTAAACCGTCTTTTATTTACAAGCGTGGACACATTTGTTTGTGAACTATTCATCTTTACATTAAACCCATATTTCAATTATTTTATTTTTTATATTTTGACAGTTAAGTGAATAATTAATTTTCAGAAAACGTGTCGCCAGCGACGCTAGAACCCGCATCATGTGATTTGCGCAAATGTTATAGTTTGTTTGTTTGTTGTTTAACGCCGCACTCAGCAATATTACAGCTATGTGACGGCGGTCTGTAAATTATAGAGTCTGGACCAGATCACCCATGCACCAACAGACATGAATATCTATCGACGCAATTGGGTTGCGTTGAATGGGTCAGCGGGCCTGACAACCCGATCCGGGATGACGCCTCTTTCGACAAGCATGGGTTGCTGAAGATCAACCGGAACTCCACGTCAGGACGTGTAATGTTCAACGTCGGCTACGGCGACGCATAATACAACGGTTTAAAAAATAGCAATTAAATATTTTAAAATATTTGTATAATCTTTGAAAACTTTTATTTATAATGTTGTGTCATATTATGTTACCTAGAACAATGTCCACGGTGAAGAGGGCCCGGTCGTTTTAGGCGCCGCGATTAGCTATGCAGAGCTGCGTCCCTTGGCCAGAAACCTATGATCATGGGTTCGAATCCAGGTTCGCCCCTATTATGTTTCTAGGTTTGTCAGCACCATACCCGTGCACGTGGGTTTCACCGAAGTGGTAATTAAAACGTCTGAGACACCTGCATCACTTCGGGCTTTCCTCCCACATTAACCAGACACGATATAACTGGAATACTGTTAAAAAGCGGCGTTAAACCCAACTCACTCACTCACTCGTATATACGGCGTGGCACGTTCGAATCTCCCTATGACAGTTTGAGAAATGACTTGCCCTCTCTTGCAGCGCCCTGCTGGCTCAGCTAACGTAGGGCCTGGCCTTTGACGTCGGCGTGCACGTCTTCCGATCATGTTGCAGGAAAAGGGCGCATGATTGGCCATTGAATTCGGGTGATATTTTGCTGCTGTAGGTAGTCAGTTAGATACGTCCGCGGTGGGCACGAGCGTTATCGTCTTGAAAGACAAAACTTGGACCAGCATGACGCGCAAACGGCTCAACTATTGGCGCCAGCATATTGTATGCAATAATCTTGTGCAATAATCTTGGACGCGACGTTAAACCCCATTTCACCTCACCTGCTTAACGCTGCACTCAGCAATGTTCCAGCTATTTGACGGCGGTCTGTAAATAATCGAATCAGGACCAGACAATCCAGTGGTTGACGCCACGAGCATCGATCTATACAATTGGGTTACGATGACATGCATCAACCAAGTCAGTGAGACTGACCACCCGATCCCGTTAATAGCCTCTTACGACAAGCGTTGTCGCCTTTTTTGGCAAGCATGGATTGGTGAAGTCCCGGAACTTCACGGGTCGGAGAATATACAGTGGCGTTCTGGCAGTCACATTGATCTCGCCCAAAATCTTTCATGTTGTCGTACGTTGTTGTTAGGGTGACGTTTATTACGAGGCCTCACGTTCACTTTTTATTTATGCATTTATATCTTTTTTAATGGACGTGTCTCACAGGCCAGCTTGACCGGATCATTTTATTTCATCAAAAAGTGCCAACTTTGGCAAAATAATGTTAAAAAACATTCGACACGAAAATAAACTGTTCTCTCTCTCCCTATCCAGAAAGCCCACATTGAATCTGGCCTCACCTGACACAAAGCCATCGGCGATCACCTCGTTTCTACGTTCTAAACACCATTGGCGTCTGGCTAGGATGTGTCGATTTACTCACCGTGTTAGTCAGTCTTACAGACCCTGATACAAATATATCAAATACAGCCCTTGCAAGTCTATAATGTTTGGCAAGTCTAGATTTCTGCAAGAGTCTCTGGGCTCCTTTTTATTAAATTTCTATTGAGATAACTTAACAACTATTTTTTTCGGTACGATATGTTCATTTCAGAGACTGGATGTTTGTCTATAACGGTGTACAACACGTGGTCGCCGAGCAAGCAGATTAGCTGCAGACAGACGATTTCTTATCATGATCAGTAACTTGAACTCCGGTGTCCTGATGCAAGTGAACATCGGTTCATTTTAAGTATGTTTTTGTATCGTAAATACGATTTATTGAGAATAAAATTGTATTGGCTCGTATTATGAAATTTTGTACCTTTTGCTTTGCTTGTAAGTTTGTTGTTTAACGCCGCACAAAATTGACCCGTAAATGTGAGATGTGATTGTGCGTGCGTGCGTGGTTGTGTGTGTGTGTGTGTGTTCTGGATGGTCTGTGTATATTTTCGGGGTGGTGTGTGTGCTTGTTCGGCCTTTCCTCCACAATAACATGACACTCACTCACTCGACCCGTGAAGATCCGGGGTAGAATAGGTCTTCAGCAACCCATTCTTGCTGTAAAAGGCGACAATGCTTGTCGTAAGAGGCGACTAACGGGATCGGGTGGTCAGACTCGCTGACTTGGTTAATGCATGTCATCGTATCCCAAATGTGTAGATCGATGTTCACGCTGTCATTTATGTGATTGTCCGACACAGCATCGATTATTCACAGAATGCCGTCATATAGCTGGAATATTGCTGAGTGCGGCTTTAAACAACAAACAAAAAAACTCTAATGACTGAAAACTGAAAATATGAATATTTAGGATCCTGGATAACTGCTTACATTTATTCTGTAAGCAACGAGTGGTGTGTGTAGTGGCCTCTTTCTGAAGCAATCCTGTGGCGCCGCAATTCGCTGTGTAGAGTTGTCCCCCTTTGGCTTTGCGGAGTTGTCCCCCTTTGTCATGTCTTTGTAAATGGAAGTACACCGAAAATTCATTTAATATTATTTATTTCTTGAGAAAATTTACATATTTTTGCAAACACGTAGCGTTTGCAAACACATATGCAATGAACATAATAAAAACTGTAAATAATAACAACACGAGAGAAGATACAACAGAATATCTCGTCAGTAGATATAGACTACATGGCCGTGGTGGAATATATCCCCAGGCTTCGATAACAGACGGGTATGTTCAACTCGCTGTCTGGACTTAACCAAGAGAAATGTACTAAATTCCTAAATACTGAAAACAGCCACTCTGGCTTCTCAGAAGAATGGAAACGAAATTGTCTTAATGTCTGTCAGTGTAGGAAACAACGAATGGTTCAACTGTGGAATAATGTGTCGTGTTCATGGAATCAGTCATCAGTTAGGTACAAGATCAGACTGGGACTGGGAATGGTATTGTTTATTTTATGATGGCATTGTTTATTTTATGATGGCATTCACGGTCCATTTTGACGTTACGTTTATTTGTGGACATCACATTTGGCGGCGAGAGTGAATACGTAAGAAAGCGCTATGTGTCCGTTTTGGGTAGTTGGAAAAAAAATCTTTAAAGAATCCATGTTACAGGTTCGTTTTCGGGTTGACAAATAAGTGTAACAAGCACTTGGTTAAAAATCCGAGAAAAAAAATCATTTACATTTTTAGAATTTATATTCCGATATTAATAGTACTGAAAAATGTATATCTGATCTTGCACCTAGATCCATGATGGCGTGTATGCCAAATGGACACGCGCTTGTGTCCACGTCTAAATTTGGAAGCTCAACATATAACACCACCTTAATAACACAACACAGACGATAAATCATGTCATTATCGTAAACAACATGGGAAAACGTTCTTCAATATTCTGCTGTAACGATCAATCATACCAGTGTTTATAATGGCTGCCGCCCACTGAGGGATCGTAACCGCATGTCTGCGTTTCTCCCATAGTTACACGTACACGTTCTACAGTCGTGTCGCGGAACGGGGTTCACGCGCGTTCCCGCATCAAAATAATACACAGTGAAATCTCGTCAGTCCACCCCGTGACGTTTCTGCTGACACCGTCGGAATTACAATAATCCAGATTATCAAATCATTGGCACGGAGTGATTTTTTTTGTATTATTATAAATAAACGCGCAAAAACCTTTTCCATATTCATTAGAAACCTCTGCTAAAGACAGTCGATTGTACGACTCCGGCTACATCATATACATGTGTTTCTGAATCACTATCAAATAGGGATGTTACCTGGTGTTCGCGAACAGGCGAGCGTATCCTGTCCCAATGGTGGTCCCCTTCACAAACACATGCAAAGACAAGTCAATTGTACACCCCCAAAATCACGGGAACATATGGTAAACTTCAAAATAGGAAATTGCATCGGACATGCTTCTTGTCAGTGATGCGTCAGATTTGGAAATGTCCTCCACATGTCTACCATAAAGATTGTGTTGCCAACAGGAATCGTAAGAAAGGTAGGGTGTCCTGATTAACAGAATCCGGTTTAACGAGATTCACAACATCAATATTTGTCGTGAGTAAAATCTTGCACGTGCTGTACACAAATACGAATCCACGATGTTGATAATCTTAGCGGTGGGGTACCCGTGCACCAAAACGACCACATCAACCTTTTCAATACAATACTTTAACGATTACGATTAAACGCTTCTTGGAACCAGGATCTAACCCATTCAATATACAAATACGGTTATCGTACCTCCCATACCTCATCATATACGTGCGGTTTTCGTAACTTCCATACCTCAGCATATACGTACGATTTTCGTACCTCCCATACCTCATCATATACGTACGATTTTCGTAATTTCCATACCTCAACATATACGTTCGGTTAACGTAACTCCAAACCTTGACATATACGTACGATTGTCGTAGCTCCAAAACCTTGACATATACGGACGATTGTCGTAGCTCCCATTCCTTAAAATATACGTATGATAGTTGTAACTCTGCAAGTTAAAGTATTCTTCGACGTGAGCATCGCGTTGTGAAATGCTGCCCAAAGCGATCTTAGCGGTAAGACGGTCTTAAGTTTCATACTTTTAAATAATACATTATTATCGCTTTGTAAAACTGATCCTTGGACATTTTACAAGCGTTTAAGTACAGCAGCCATCGTGTAACGTGCACGTCCCCGTTCCACAAAGCGACCTTAGTGCTAATTTTGTCGTAAATCTATGTTTAGGTATGGGAGATACGATCGTCGTAAGATCGCTTTGTGGAAAAAGTCCAGTGAAGCTTGACCTTGAATCAGCGAAGAGGCAACCATTATAACCAAAGTGGAGAAACGAAACATGACACACGTTGGACGTGAACAGACCACGAAAACAATCGTCGCAATCCAGAAACAGTTCTCATAGAAGAGTAAAATCATATACATGTACACCAATTTGAATGAATATTTATTTTCCTCGTGATCCGGATTATACCGAGACAGTGACCCGTGACCTGATGACGTCACAGAGGAGTAAACCTGGAGACAAGTCGGGAGAATCCCCAATAAAAAACAGCACAAATCAACAACTCCGTTGATCGCCACTGAACAAGCTCTCGTTTTATAAAATGACCCATGTATGATATAGGACAAAATCAAACTTGTTGGGGTAATCTCCCCTGAACACTGAACTCTTCACACCGCAGTCCTCCTTGCACCACTTCACCACATGCGCATCCTATCGGGTGACGAATGTTATCATTGAAATATTCGAAATCGTTGTGTGGTTAACGAACTTGATCGCAAAACGAAGTGTTTAACGATATTCAGTATCAGTGCAAGGTTTATAAGAAGTAACCCACACAAAACGTCTCCAGATAATCTTATTCTTACAAACGTAAACCGCTTGGTCGGGTAGGAAGTTCCCATGTCATCTTTTGGAAAACAAAGGCTTTACCCCGAGCACAAGACTCAACCGTTCTTTCTCGTTCTCGCAATTCTCAAATCTATCTATTCTGATCGTCACCCGCTGACCACCATTCAACGAAGCGAGACATTCAATTATCTCCAATCATTTCTTCTCAGCCCATCCTGTTAAATCCACCGTGTTCATCATAATCATCATCATAGTCATAATCATTCTTGGAGTCGTCATTTCCAGCACGTAAAACCTGCATGAGCCAAACTGCTGTTGGCACGTTCTGGCATCCATAGAAATCTCGGCGTAGTTCGCGTGGCGTAAATGGCGGCCTGACGTTGCAGGGGGCACCAAAGATTGTGGTCCGGACCTGATTGTGGCGTCCCTCGCCGAGTTGAGGGGACGAGTGTTTGACAGCGTTACGGCTTTGCTGCAAGAAGAGAAAAGTAGTGAGTGAGTGAGTTGGGTTTAACGCCGCTTTGAAGAGTATTCCAGTTATATCACGGCGTGTCAGCTTAATGTGGGAGGAAAGCTCGAAGTGATGCAGGTCTCAGACGTTTACCAGTTCGGTGAAACCCACGAGCACGGGTATGGTGCCGACAAACCTAGAAACATAATCGGGGCGAACCGAAGAGAAAAGTAAATACTACTAACACGAAATATATTTAGTGAGGTGAGGTGAGGTGAAATTGGGTTACGTCGCGTCCAAGATTATTGCACAGTGTGTGTGGCTGCCAGTGCTAAACCGGACTGATGCCGATTTATAGTGCTAGCTAACTGAGATACCATGCCGCAGTTTAACAAGAATACTCCACTCAGACACAGTATACTGTCTCCGAGCCGACCAGTCGTTGTTTTAGCCCCTTAATGCCGCGCGCCAGACAGGGTAACACCAAGTTACCATCTTTTAACGTCTTTTGGTATGACGCGGCCGGGGATCGAACCCCGAACCATCCGCTCTCCGGGCGGACGCTCTACCACTAGACCACAGAGGCGGTGCAGTATATTAAGTGTAATTCAGAGCGTACCTCCAGGTCGCATTGGATGGCCCTAGCGTCATAATTTGTAGTGCAGAGTTGCGTCCCTTAGCCGCTGATCTCAGGTTTGACCCCACTCTTACATGTGGTTAAAGCGTTCGCTCGTCACGCCGAAGACCCGGGTTCGATTCCCGACATGGGTACAATGTGTAATTGATATTGCTTGAATATTGCTAAAAGCGGCGTAAAATCATACTCACTCACTCATATTTAAAAAGCGACGAAGATTCACCCTATTGCATTTTCTAGTCTTTTTTGTTTTTGGGATACGCTACTTTAACAGTTTTATCGTACAACTATGGGCTATCCCAATTTGCCCGTAGAGGCATTTTGTGGTGTAAGTGATGTCTGCACATACCCCCTCCCCCGCGCACGCACGCACGCGCGCCCACACATACACACATACAACTAACCTGGTGGACATCAGCTGTGCACATCCGGGTGTGATTACTTCCGGTCCAGTGCCTGGTATATTCGTCATCAAATGAATATTCATTACCACGCCCACTGGTGAATACGATTACGTTTCGGTGTTCCGGAGATTTACGAAGCGCGTAGGCGATTTCTCCCGAGTAGCTTTGATCGACGATGAGATGCACGCTCTTTGCTGCACAGTCGGCCAGATCTTCCTTCAGTTCGCCGACTGTGTACCGCTCGTTGCCGTCAGCCTGGAAGAACATGGAAACTTGCGTCAAACTTCAAAAAACTGATACAGAAAACAACCCAGCCGATCTTTTCATATTTCCAAACGAAGAAACGAGTTTGGGTGATTGTATAATAGCAGGTATAATATATTGAAATTACACGGATAAAGAAACATTTCGCTTGGGGTTGCTAGGATTTTATACTCCATACTATTTTGGCTCAGTTTTAACTTAAAAGATATCTGGTTTTGCAATTGTAGCTGTAAAAATATAAAATCACAACCAAGCTACCCCCCCCCCCCCCCCCCCCCCCCCCCCCCCCCCCGACACACCAACCCTCAATCAAAGTTTCATCATCAAAGGCCTGGTTAAATAAATCCAAAGATATTATGACAGACATTCATAGGAATATACTAAATATTACACGTCAACAAGATGCGCGATGCTTTCCATACTATGACCTTCACATGGAACTTTCACACCTCTTTTCACACAAGCACTACATTTGCACTGGAACTGGTGAGTGGGGGGTGCTGCAGGTAAATCATGAGAGTTTGAATTTCAGTGATTAATTCGTATGATGTTCATCACTATTCTTCCTTTTACGCCCTATGAAATCTGTTTTTAAATTAACAATGTTAACAAAGTTACAATATTGCACCCACATTGAAAAAAACGACCTGCCTACAGAACTGTATGAACACTTTATGCTTATTAAGGTTTTTTTATATTCGTATTCTCATACCCACTAGAAAATGGTGTGTCCTTATATAGGTAAAGTTACATAAGTTAACGTAAACAAGTAACTTTGTTATCATGGTTCATATAACTTATATAATATATGTATAATATTTTGGTCATAACGTTTGGAAACCTTTGCGCTGGCCCTAAACCTATTGCGTAGAAACCAGATGAGCTGTGTCACGAAAGAGTAATTCTTTGTCGATATACTCGTGAAGATCCGGGGTACAATAGGTCTTCTGCGACCCATGCCTGCCATAAAAGGCAACTATGCTTGTCATAAGAGGCGATTAATGGGATCGGGTGGTCAGGCTCGCTGACTTGGTTGATGCATGTCATCGTATCCAAATTGCGTGGATCGATTTTTATGATGTCAATCACTGGATTGTCTGGTCCAGACTCGATTATTCACAGACCGCCGTCATATAGCTGAAATATTGCTGAGTTCGGCGTTAGACTACAAACAAACAAACAAATTTGGTCGATAAATACGGACAACAAGCATGGCATTTTAGAAAGTATGTTGGTGGACATTTCAATGTGTGTAATGTTGACGGAATTGGTACGTGGCTTAAGTATGGAGCTGGAGGATACCCTGGACAGTTGGGTCCAGCCTCTGCATCTTGCACCCCATGATGTTCCAGAAGAGTTCCAGCCTGGTGAGATATGGTCGTGATGGCGATCCCCTGAGGAAACTCAGTTACTTATCGAGGACGATGTGTATTCGTGTTGTTGTCCATGGTGACGGGTCTGGTAGCCGGAGGGTGGTACAAAATGTGGTACAACCCTCTGATCCAGGATTTCACGCCTGTCAACAACTTCCAGTCATGGGCCTGGCAACCCCACATCTCAGCTGATCCTCCACCAAGTGGGACTGGTAGACTGACGTCCCTGGGCATGTATGCCGTGTTCCCTTGCCGCCGGACCCAGAAGCGCCCGTCTGAGACACGGAACAAGAATCTGCTCTCATCCGACCTTTGGATCTTCCTCCATGTCCTCGGGTTCGAGCCACGGCTCGTCAAACACCGCGCCAAACACCCCGTAAACCACCTTGCCAAACACCGCGCCAAACGGTCCCTGTGATGACGATCTGACAGCATAGGACGCTTGGTCACCCTCCTTGACCTCATACCTGTCGATTTCTCAATGTCCGTGATGACCATATTGTCTGTGCGGCTTACAGGTGCTTGTGGTAAAGGGTTAAGAAACAGGTCGCGATCTTTGCCTGCTGACGTCACGCGAGGCCGTCCAGACCTTGGACGGCCTTTTACCTCATTACTTTGCCGATGTTTCTGTGCCAGTCTGCTTATAACCGAATGGTACAACCGAGCTGACGACGAACAGGTTTGTAGGACATTCCTGCATTAATCATGCCTAATATTCGACACCTTCTGTCGTCAGATAATCTCCGACGAGCCATGACTACAAGAATTAAGACTGTCGTTCAGAATAATTGTGCTTGGAATTGGCGCCGAATGAAAGTCAGAACCGCGCATCATAGCTATGGATGACCATTACCAAAACCATTTTACAAATTACATTCGCGACAGTGATGAACCTCTTCAGAGGGCACTTTACCTTTTTCCAAGGTTTTTATCCAAACTCCACCATATTTTAGTGCAAACATTTTCATTGCCAAACGCACTGACCTCTATCTCATAGTTTTACAGCAGTACGATACTATTTTGTTTAACTTAATTATCCTTTGAACTTAAGAACCTCCGAAAACTATAACTCTCTCAGTCTAAAGCCCTTTGAGTGACTGACGAGACGCCGTCTGACTAGTACAGTCAGGCAAGGCAAATCAAACCACAACGATAATCACCATTAAATTCAAATGAAACAGTATTCCTTGAATGTCTTTTAATAGTACGCCGACTCCGCAAAAGCGAAATTCTTTTATCTGATAATTTCTCAATAAATTAACAACCGTGTAGAATTTTGAGCGTAAGATGGCTCCATTAGGAATGTCTGCCAAACCCAATGACCTTTTTGGCGTTGGAGACAGGATATATTTTGCAGTCGTCGCTTCAAAACACTTATATTTTCCGCGAAAGTTGGAGCAAGACAATTGATTTACATATATTATTTTTTTCATGACATCAAGCATATCTTGGGAACTATTTATTTATTGGGCAAAACCTGAAGACAAATTATGTATTTTTTATATACTATTTTTGTTGTTGCCGTGTTGCTTTGTTGCCTGACGCAGGTGTGGAATATGGGAATGATGCGACATCTTCCGACCTGACAAAACCAAATGCTGTAGTTTTGTTTTTACAGAAAACAGTTTTATTTGAATCAAGTTGGGGACAAGTGATACTTGAACAAATACTTGCCCCACACCCCCACCCCCTGTCAAAAAAAGTTAACTACGGCCTTGCTGAGTTAACCAGTGTTATCAAAGCATAACCAGGGGCAGTACCCTAAATAGAACGCATAAAATGCAACCTTAGATTATACAAAAGTCGGCCAGGAGAAGCAGAAGCACAACGGACATGTGTATTGCTTTATCACACAACTAGGAGAGGTGAACAAGTATTACATTTCGTGACAAAGCTGCAATTGTACCTTTTCTATTTGGATGCGTGTAAAACAAGAAAGTTCAAAATAACGCGGAGAACATCAGACAGGCTGCATTATCATTTTCAAAGTTGTATTATTGACTCCATTAAAAGTATCAACAATCGAAAGTCAAATTTCCCTGACGCAAATCAGAATACATATACATTATCGATACCTTGTTAATAATATTCAATGATGCTTATATCCATGATTGAATAAATAAATGAAATAAAATAGCTTTAACGATGATGTCACTTGGAGGCTGCTGATCGGAGTACCGCCCCAGGGGTTCAGTAGGTACGGGCAACTTAGGTCGTGACGTATGACGTTCATCAGTTAACACGTGCTAAAATTGATTATTTGTTTGTTGTTGAACGCCGCACTCAGCAATATTCCAGCTATATGACGGCCGTCTGTAAATCATCGAATCTGGACCAGACTATCCAGTGATTGACATCATGAGCATCGATCCACGCAATTTGGATCGATGACATGCATCAACCAAGTCAGCGAGTCTCACCACCCGATCCCGTTAGTCGCCTTTTACAACAAGCATAGACGCCTTTTACGGCAAGCGCTACCATTGGTTAAGCAGGGTTAACGTGGGTCGTCCTGGGGTTTGAAACGAGCGCAAGCAGTATTTTAATGTTTCGGTGAGGGGGGTCCGCAATTGCAGCGATGAAGCTTACCAAACCATCGTTGTTGACGTCCCACAGATACGACGTGCCATCGTTCCGTGCTGGGTTGTTCATGTAGATGACGAGAGAGTCGACGCAGTGACGAGACATGCACATCTTGCGAATGTGGTAGCGGAAGGCGTGTTTCATGGCCGCCGGATGTACCCGTTGCGGGGGGTCACCAGGAACTGTGGGTAAGATGTAAAAAGAAACTTAAACAGTGGATAACGATGAGAAAGGAGAAGGCTCGGCAAAATTAAACAACTTGGCAGTATGAATAAACTATTCCCCTAACAACTTTTGGTTTGATCTCATTGCTTTCTTCTCCCTAAAAGAGTATTTAACAACATGCAACATGGTTAAGTTTATTGTTTTTTGAGACCCGTGAAGATCCGGGTTAGAATTGGTCTCCAGCAGGCCATGTTTGTCGTAAGAAGCGACTAACGGGATCGGGTAGTCAGGCTCGGTGACATGATGTCATTCACTGGAGTGTCTGGTCCAGACTCAATTATTAACAGTCCGCCGTCACACAGCTGGAATATTGCTCAATGCGAGGTTTAATACAAACAAACAAAACTGTTTTATGTATTCAGACATTTAGTGAAATAAAACTCATTGGTTGCATGTTTCTGTCATTTGTTCAAATACATTTCGGCGTTAAACAATAAATCAACAAACCTGGTTCGTGTATCCACAGTTTTAGAGAAATAGGAAAACAATAGCAGCATATTTTTTTCATTTTGAAATTTGAATTTCAACCTACCGACTAAATACTTCACACACATTTCACCGACAGTTTCCAGATTCTTTGTCAGCGGCCATTTGACTACCCGATAGTAGTTCTTTCAATAAGCATTACATATGATTGACACACACTGTCCTTCCTTCAACGCTCCATTGCGATGGCTTTTACGTTCCTGATCAAGACTTAGTGTTACAGTAAACTACGGTTATAACGAACACGCTTATAACGAACTTACGGATATAACGAACTTACTTTTTTGGTCCCGACTATTTGCTGTAGTTATGCTGTATATATGCTTATAACGAACAACGGTTATAACGAACTAAAATCATAGTCCCTTTGAGTTCGTTATAACCGTACTTTACTGTAATTACATTCTGTTCATTAACACGAAACTTCAAATTGTGTTCAATTTTCACCTTTTTTCATTTTTTCAGATAACAACTATCCTTCTCTCCTTGCTTAGTACTCCAACCTCTAAATGCCTATCAAAGAAGATATCCTTCTCGTGTTTGAAAATATTATTCCCATGAGAAAAAAACGATGAATATATTTTGATATCCAAGAACTAACAAAAATCTGTCATTCCTATCACAAAACCACTTTTTTCAAAGAAACGTAAACCAAAAACCTATATTTAGGAAACTAGCCGTTTGAACATCACACCTGGAATGGCGTCCTCTAAGACCCAGGCACTCTCACCTACATATTTCTGTCTTTCAAAGAGAAGTCATTTTTCAAGATTAATATCACTTTGACAAGTTCGTATATAATCAGGCTTGCTAAAAACTCAGTGTCTGAAAAAACTTGCCTGGGAAAAGGTTTGAGATTCGGAGCCTGTGTAAGAAATGTCGAACGCAAAGAAGCATAACAATAGTACCCTGCCAGATGTTATCATTTAGCCGTTCCCCATTGTCCGATCGGGGAACTCACCTTTAGATGTTGGACTGAAATACCAGGTATTTGAATGAAAATCTCTTTGATGTGCCGCATTGTCAATTACGCATCGACTTGACCTACTTAGTGTTCATGGAAATAAGATAGGTAAATATATATGTATGCGAATCTCGCAGTAAGGGTTTAGGCTTCGCCGTTCGTTAGTTTCAAGCCGTCTGTGAAATTTTACACTATAAATCATGCCAGTGAAGAGGTATGTTTCTCATAAAATCTGAATTATGGCTTATTAGTGTATGATATATGAGATTCCGTGAATATTTGGCTGCACACATGTATTAATATATGATACATTTTTTAGCTGAATTTCGTTTTATGATGTCAAATATATTTGGAAATGCGTGTTTTGTATTTGATAGACAATACACATTCAAAATAATCAGGCAGTTCGGCCTTCTGTGTTTGTAACAAAACGGAAAACGACATAACATATACATCTAACAAAAGTTAAAGAACACATTCTTTTTATCGTATGACTATATTTCATCTGTCGTGGCTGGTGGGAATTGCAACACACAGCCTTCCAGTTGTGGGTGTTCTTTAACTTATTTAGAGTGGAATGTATCGCAACCGCGGGGCATTCAATAGTGAACGCATGCTTATCTAGGTTTGAGATACTTTTCTAGTAAAAGATAAACTGGTGTAAAATGGAATTGAGAAAAATCGAACGCAGAGCGAAAGAGTTATTAAATACCACCCACGCACACTATCTTACAGCGTCTTAATCTCCAATGGTATACAAAGTTTCCATGTTTTAATAATGCGTCATGGTAAAGTGTCAACTGATAGCCATCATTCTAATACAGAGTAGCATAAGGTATCTTTGTATATTAGAACGAATGAGTTAAAAGCATGGATCTTTGACTCAAGTTCATGAAATACATAAATATATTCAAGATCAATGCTAGATATTTGTTCATCTCATTATTCTAGAACTTATTCTGTACTTTTAAACTAAAATATCCTTTACTTTCGGTGATATGACGGATTGCAATATAATGGAAAATATCAAAATGCCTCCTTATGGACCTTGGGGCTACCTTATGTTTTGCGGACAACTTGACCGCTGTTGATGAGTAGTGAATAGGGTTTGTTTCAAAATATGTTTATTGTATTTTCCGCAATACCGAAGTGTGTTCACTCATTGCAATTCCGTATATGAAATAAGAACGACAGCAAATTATGCCAAATTTTCTTGCATTGGGGGCGGTCGGGTAGCCTGGTGGTTAAAGCGTTCGATCGTCACCCGGGTTCGACTCCCGAGATGGGTACTATGTGTGAAGCCAATTTCTGGTGTCCCCCGCCGTGATATTGCTGGAATATTGCTAAAAGCGGCGTAAAACAATACTCACTCACCCACTCTTGCATCGATCAACTTCTACACTCAATGAGCAATAGCTTGCTCCTGCCTCAAACGTTACATTGAAACTCCACTTTGAATTACGGTACTTACTTTGTAAAGATGGTGATCCATTGGCAAAAAACACTTTAATATTTCTTCTCTTAAATCCATTATTTCTGAGCATTTTAAAAACCAGTTCAACGTTCATTTTATGCCTTTTACCGGTGCTTTGTCTATTCCAGCCCCCTGACAAAATCACCGCCTGGTCACAAATTTCCAAGGGTCGACAACTGCTCTTCACCGTTTCATGTGTTGTGGAACATCTCCTGGTATTGTCACGGATATGGTTGCAGATTAAACCCGTGGTCTCGTTCAGTAATCTCAACTCTGGACATCTACCAAAGCCTGCAAGGCCAGAGTAACATCTTAAATGATTGTGACGTGTCGCCATGTAATGTCCGCCATCTTGGTTATTGGCCCGATGCACCACGGGAAGGAAGTTAATCTCACACCGTCTTGCAAAGTTGCGTCTTCTTGAACGTCTTTCTAAGGCATTCTTGCACCTCCGCCTTAAGGCTAATCTTATGCACTCTCCTTTATCTGCAACATAAATATGAATCCATGGCTAATACATCAGTATTTTTCAAAATTAACATTATCAAGGGCTTGTTAAAGTATACTACACAATACTAAATAAGGAGCACCAAAATTGGAAAGATGTGTGTTGCAATACCCACCAGCCATGACCGATTAACAATATGAAAGATTCGGGTGTACCTGTACTTACTTTGATTAGTATATAAGTGTCGACCAGATGCGAGGTACAGTAAACTACGGTTATAACGAACTCAAAGGGACCACTAATTTTAGTTCGTAATAATCGTAGTTCGTTATAAGCATACAGCATATATGCAACAAATGGCCGGGGCTTAAACGTAAATTCGTCATATCGGTCAGTTCGTTACAAGCGTGTTCGTTATAAACGTAGTTTACTGTAATTTCTTCTTGGACTTCGCCGGGAATATTCTTTCATCTTGGTTATATACAGTAAAACCTCGTTAACTCGATCTCTTGTATCTCGACATATCGATTAAATCGATGTAACTGTTCCTGCCACATGCCTTAGTGGCGCTATGATCTAATATTGGTTGTGTCGACCTTACTGGACAAATATTCGATGATACCCAGAACTAAGTGTTAGCGTTGCTTCGCCGTAAATCTCGTATCTCAATTTGACGTCCAATAATATTATGCATTGGTAAAATACAATTATGTTACGTCGAATACGGTATGTTAAATCCATCACCTAGGACAGTAAATACAAAACGCCTAAGTGAGATAATAACCAGTTGGAGATGTCCGTCCAAACAGATTCCATTTGGCGTAAAAAGCAAAATAGAGGTGACAACTTTATGAACTGAAAATCAGTGATGACACCCTGCGTTCGCGAAAAGTGTGAGCATGTCCTGTCCTTCCTGTAGCACGCGTTGCTGGCACAATATGCATACAATGGTTAATGCTTGTTGCCTGACGCCGAGAAACGTAAACACATGCAAACAAACTCGACAAAACCTTTTCCACAATCAGAGTCCATTGTATGATTCTGACTACATCATTAGCATGTGGGGCGGTCGGGTAGCCTAGTGGTTAATTGAAATTATGCTTGGTATTTAAGAGGTTGCTATGAATCTACGTTCCACCTACGTCCAACATTTAAGGGGCGATGTGGTAGCCTAGTGGCTAAACCGTTGGCTCGTCACGCCGATGACCCGGGTTCGATTCCCCCATGGGTACAATGTGTGAAGCCCATTTCTGGTGTCCCCCGCCGTGATATTGCTGGAATATTGCTAAAAGCGGCGTAAAACCATACTCACTCACTCACTCATTAGCATGTGTTAATGAATCACTATCAAATGTTTAAAGACAACTGGCCATATAAGAGGTGTAAATTAGTACAGTTTAACACCTTTCATCCAGAAATGTTTGAAATCATTTTGTGACGACCTAATTCCAGGGAAACATACTTTACGGGCACTTGATGAGAGACAAAGAATCATCACTCAATTATGTCTACTTTTTACAGAATACTTTTTTTCAGAATACCTTTTTTCAGAATTGTCAATTTGTGAATCTATTTGTTGGGAATATGTTTACCTCTTTCAGCTTGTAACCGCGACAATACATCACGTGACTTTTTTTAACCCTTTATGTCCTGGTTAACTGAGCCATGCGATCCATTTTTATTGGCGTCTTATTGGCTTCGTGTTGAGCTATGCCGTTGTTCAGCGTTGTGATATTTTGAACAGTGAGGCGTAAAGCGTTAAAACCCCGTCCACAGTAATAAGAGATCTCTTCTAAAAGCAGAACAGTGTACGGTTCCTACTATTATATAAGCATGTGTTCATAAATAACTATTAAATATTGACGATAACAGGTTTTGGTGAAAAAGGGAGCCCCGTCACAAACACATGCAAAGGCAATGTAACTGTTCGTCTGAAAAAGCGAGGGATAACAGGGAATTGCATTATTCCGGACATCACGTTTGTCACTGATGCGTCAAATTTAGAAATGTCCCCCACATGTCTATCATAAAAAGTTCTGAAAGTTTCACGAAGGCCTTCAATGCTGTTACCCGGAACAAGCAGCTTTTAAGCAAATGTCATGTGACGCTTTATGAATTTTTTGTATGAGGAGGATGCTCGATTGTGCCTCAAAGGTTGTGAAATATAGACACCAAAGATTTCACCCCTCTTGTCATACAGTTTTCTGAATACCATTTTAGATCTAAATATGAAACAGGGGAGGCGGTTTCACATGTCTCTTGTTTTTCTAGCTCTTATAGTAACAGTCAAAGAAAGGGAGTTAATGAAAGATCTCAGATCATCGATATACCTGAAGCTTAAGTTAAACTTCTTGGCCATATTCTCTCGGTTTGATTTTGCCAATTCAAACAGAAATTCTAACTCCCGTGCATAAAAAAACAGTTCCGCAATACTGACATATATTCCTGAGATTAGCGTCTGACAATGAACTGTATCCGGAGGATTAGCGATACAAATTAAACGCCAATGGCGACACGTGTTCAAGGCAGTGACAACAGTCAGATGCGTAGGCGAATAAACCCATCGTTTTCTAACACCAAGGGTATTAAACAGCGTATACAGGTAATTCTCGACATTTCATTAACGTTACCCTCCCTGCAGTCATTAAAAGATGGCGCGAGATACCACTGTTAATTCTCGCGAGAACGAGATCTCGCCCTGAGCAAAAGAAAATGGCGGCGCCGTGTGTGTTGAGAGATTGCCGTGACTTAGCGTCGTTTTGAGTGTGAATGTATTGGCGTGTGTGGTCTATGTTAACCTCTTCAGGAGCAGTGTAAGCGTGTTTATTTGCTACATGGGCGATCGCCGTTAAGCCGCGGGTACACGGAGATACGCGTGGGGTCTAACACTCCTCGGCCGAATGTTTTAATCGCTCAAACTTGTATTGACATGGATTATGGTTGGAATCGATTTTTATGTCAGAACATATATTCATAATCTAATTTCTTAACTTTCAGTTGAATAATACTGTTGTAATTCGTGTTGAATCACACACGAACTTATAAATAAAACAAAAACATTTATGTTGGCCAGATCGATTTGAAAAAATAACGACCTCAGAGCTTTACTCTTCAAATATTTTTCAACAATTTATCCGTTGAGAAACACCAAATTTGAGACCGTTGAATTTCTCCAAAAGCATACTGTTAAATGGAAACTTAAATCGGATGACTGTCAAATAAGTAACAAAATAATTCTTATGACTGGTATTTCATTGCGTTGGTATCGGTTGATTAGTCGAGTGTAACATACAAACAGAACATGTACCTTTAGAGTGTGGTACAGGGATGAACTTATTTCGAAATGGACAAGTTTGAAAAAAAGGTGTGGTCACTTCAAACTAATTGATAGTTGGTTATATCCAGTAAGGATTGATGTTTTTCAGTACACACTGTACGAGGCGGTCAGGTAGCCTAGTGGTGAAGCGTTCACTCGTCACGCCGAAGACCCAGGTTCGATTCCCGACGTGGGTACAACGTGTGAAGCCCATTTCTGGTGTCCCCCGCCGTGATTTTGCTGGAATATTGCTAAAAGCGGCGTAAAACCATAAGCTCACCCCAGTACACACCATAGCCTTTATCGTTTGATATTCTGTTCGTTGTGCTTTAATATCAGTAGACCAGGCCCTTGTTTCACAAGCTGTTTCGTTGTACATAAATGTCAGTAGACCAGGCCCTTGTTTCACAATCTGTTTCGTTGTACATTGATCTCAGTAGACCAGGCCCTTGTTTCACAAGCTGTTTCGTTGTACATAAATGTCAGTAGACCGGGCCCTTGTTTCACAAGCTGTTTCGTTGTGCTTTAATGTCAGTAGACCGGGCCCTTGTTTCACAATCTGTTTCGTTGTACATTGATCTCAGTAGACCAGGCCCTTGTTTCACAAGCTGTTTCGTTGTACATTGATCTCAGTAGACCAGGCCCTTGTTTCACAAGCTGTTTCGTTGTACATAAATGTCAGTAGACCGGGCCCTTGTTTCACAATCTGTTTCGTTGTGCTTTAATGTCAGTAGACCAGGCCCTTGTTTCACAATCTGTTTCGTTGTACATAAATGTCAGTCGACCAGGCCCTTGTTTCACAAGCTGTTTCGTTGTACATAAATGTCAGTAGACCAGGCCCTTGTTTCACAATCTGTTTCGTTGTACATTGATCTCAGTAGACCAGGCCCTTGTTTCACAAGCTGTTTCGTTGTACATAAATGTCAGTAGACCGGGCCCTTGTTTCACAAGCTGTTTCGTTGTGCTTTAATGTCAGTAGACCGGGCCCTTGTTTCACAATCTGTTTCGTTGTACATTGATCTCAGTAGACCAGGCCCTTGTTTCACAAGCTGTTTCGTTGTACATTGATCTCAGTAGACCAGGCCCTTGTTTCACAAGCTGTTTCGTTGTACATAAATGTCAGTAGACCGGGCCCTTGTTTCACAATCTGTTTCGTTGTGCTTTAATGTCAGTAGACCAGGCCCTTGTTTCACAATCTGTTTCGTTGTACATAAATGTCAGTCGACCAGGCCCTTGTTTCACAATCTGTTTCGTTGTATATTAATGTCAGTCGACCAGGCCCTTGTTTCACAATCTGTTTCGTTGTATATTAATGTCAGTAGACCAGGTTCTTGTTTAAGAGTCTGTTTCATTATACAATAAACATAGCAGGAAATATTTCTTTGTTATATATACAGGTAAATATTAATATAGACATATCTAATATAAGTACCTTCTATATAAAGCTATCTGACATTCTGTTGCACGAACCATCCGCCCACAAAACACTCGGAAAAATAATTTAAAAAAGACATAAAAAACAGTCCATGACAGTCCAAACTCAATCAAGGGCTCTCAAAAAGAATAATCAGCATAACTAAAAAACTCAGACAATAAAGACCGCTAAAATATAGACCACACAGGTACTAAAGGAGCGTTATTTGTAACGGTATGCGCTACACTTCTACACTAAGGCGACACTGTAATATAACACCATTTCCATGTCCATGTAAACACTTTTTT